AGGGAGGCTGAGTCAGGGCAGACTGGGCCCAGGACCCTGAAAAGAGCAAAAAAACACTTGGATCAGTTCAGCTCTGGGCCCCAAGTCTCCCTGAGTATATAGACACAAAAGATCAGCCAGATATTCCCATGTCTCTTCCCTGGAGCCTCACCTGTGCCCTGAGTGAGGAGGGTGAGAAGGAGCAGAGCCCAGGCCATGGTGGAGATGCCCCAGAATGCTGCCTTCTGAGCCCCCAACCATGGGCCTGGTCCCCCAGATGTCTCTTTTCCCCTCCCCCTGATGCAGAGGAGGGTGGGGCCTCCATGCAAATCTGCTCCTGCCCCTGCTTCCTCCACCTCCACCATGGCCAGTTGTTTCTCTACATCCCTGGAAGGTTGTGTTGCTCAGAGGATTAAAATCTTTGACCCATAGATGTCATGTAACTAAGGAACATGTGTTGTGTTTTGCTTGTTCACAGAGAAGAGAAAGTCCAGCTGTGGCCCTGCTTAATGAGCTCCTGGATCTTCTTTTTATGTGCTGGGATGTGACTGTGTCTCTGGGACTCTCTGTGCAGGGGATGCTCTGCAGTGCACTCTGCCAGATGCTCACTCGACACAGTCTCTGTAGTAAAGGAGGTGCCCACCTTGGGGAAACACCTGCTGTTTGCTGGGTTCTGGGTGGCACCCACCCAGCTGCCGCCTGCTCACCTCCCCACACCCATCCCTTTGTTCTGGAGCATCTGCCACATGAAATCCATGACCCCCAGGCCACCCTGACAGGTGCCCCTGAACACCAGGTGCACAACCGTGAGGCCTCCCAGGAGGAACAGGGGACACCAGGCAGGAGCCGTGTCCTAACTCTGACAGTACTCTCCCAATTCTGCTGTTTGCCCTCTGTGCAGGGCAGTATCCTTTTCCTCTTCTGATTCTCACAGGAGAAACGAAATCCATGAGCCCACCGGCCCATACTCTGACCTCAGAAGAGAGGAATGAGTGGAGAGAGAGCAGCTGGCACAAAGTGGCATTTCTGGGCCCACAGCTGTGACATTTATTTCACAATTGATAGTCAAAGATTTCATCTCATTTCATCTTTGTGTTATTGCTTTGGTCACAAGATGTGTTTTTGCTGCTTGTAGGCTCCACTTTCCCAAGTGCCCAGGTCAAGATAGAAGTGATCTCTGATCCAAGGAATACTGAAAAACTGTTGGGAAAATATTTCCTCTAGGTTTTCTACTTCAGGGCTTTAAAACTCAGGCTCATCGTTCCCGTTTTCCTCCCCCCATTGTTCTGTCTCATTCTGTCCTGTTCTGTTTTTCCGAATTTAAAACTGTACTATTGCATCCTGATTTCACATAATATGTAGTAAATACACATTTTTTTCTCCCACAAAATGCACCTATAATACCCAGACAGAAGTTGTGGAGGAGCTACTTGTGTACCGAGAAAAGGAATCATCAGAGCAGACTGGGGTAGACACTGGGACTGGAAGGTCATTCAATTCAGAGTGGGTCAGGTTCTATTCTTCCCTGGATTCAGGCAGCCTGAGGCTGGAAGGGCTCCTGCCTGAGACAGAATAGCTGCATGACAGCTTCCTTTGATCTGGGGGAAGGCAAGAAGGAGAGCTCCAGTGCCAGAGCTGCTGAGGGAAAAAAGTCACAATTCCCTGGCCATGTGCCCTGCTTTCTGTCCCCCGGCCCAGCATCCCGATGGGCATTACTGATGGTGGAGGCAGAAGGACCATTCCCTATGATTTAGGAGCTGTCTTCCCACCCAGGGGATGATCATCCCCTTTGCTTCTGTCCTCTCTGTCCTCCTGCTCCTTGACATGGACACAGGTCCTGTCACAGGAAGGGAACAACAGTTTAGGGGAACTTGTGTCACAGTTTCTGATCCAGCGGACAGAGGAGTAAACTCAGGAT